AACATTTGTTATCATTCAATGTTGATTGAAATTACTGAAAACAAGGTTCTCTTTTCTTACAGCAAAGAACAGCTATGCCTTTCTTTTAAATTTAATTCTCGACTGTGTGAAGCGTGTGTTTCAAATTTTCAAATTTAAGTCTGAGAATCAAACCCTACAATGCTACCATTCAAATGAAAGCCATTGAGCAGTACTTTCATGTGGTACTGTTTATTATGCTGAACAAGGTGGTTCTAGCTTTTAAGTCTGTGGACGAAACCCTAGTGTGTGACCATTCCAATGAAAGCTATTGAGCAGTACTTTCATGTGGTACTGTTAATTATGCTGTTCAAGGTGGTTCTAACTTTTAAGTCTGTGGCTAAAACCATTCAATTGAAACCTTGACTATTCAAATGAAAGCTGGTAAGCAGTACTTTCACGTGGTACTGCAGCTGTTTTTTTTTCAAAATTTCCACAAAAGGATCTTTTTTCTGGCAACTAAAAAACTTCGGAACTCTTGGGAGGAAAGAGTTCAGCTGAGGTTTACAAACGTTCCAAGGTTCATTCACTTGTTTCCACTGAAGACCTCTGTGTCAGTTGTTGATTTTGCCTTAGTACTGCCCCAGGACTGGGGTACGGCCTCATTTGAAACAAAGGTCCATTAGCTGTTGTGTCGACTCCTGTTTTAGCTTCACCTTTCTTGAGTAAACCTGTAGTCCATGTACCCCTGTGGAAACAAATACAGGAGTATTAAGTAACTATTATGCAGTTATTGACTGAGCAGGCCCGATTTCTTTCCGCTCGTACGGGAACGCTTGCTATGCAGGCTACGTGTAAAGTCGCTTCCGCTGTCTACGTGAGTAGACTCCGCAACACATGATTGGCTATTTTTTGACCCTCCCAGGATTTCCGAGACTGGGGGTGGTCAAAAAATTAACTTGAAGAGGGATTACCTTGGGCATAAGACCTCTATGGATAGAGGATAGATAGGAGAGATAGGCCTCCCTACCCTTCATCACCCTTGGTAACACCGTTGTCTATTTAACAATTAGATTATAAGGTGATAGTTGATGAGGTCGAAGGCCGAATCAACTCATAGAAATCTCGAGCTCATAATCTAATTGTTTTAGTAAAAATCTACTAGTCGTTCAAACCTTTATCTAAATCCTCTTCACAAACACTTCTAAAACGCCAAGAAGCGGCCGTTATTTTGTTATCAAGGGCACACTGCTAGGCTACTCACTATCTATCACAGAATAGATRGTGAGTAGCGTAGCCAATCAGAGAACGGCATTCGTGATTGAACGCTGGTAGATTTATACTAGTCTAATAAAGGACATTACGGTCCTTGTCTATTGAAAAATACCTTGGAGCATCAGAATACGAGGAGGGATCCATTGGGTCGACTTCGTCTGATTTTCTGCGCTTTTCAGCTTTTATGTCTAAATAAAATAAAAAATATATATTTAGTAATATATAAAAAAGATATTGCTATGCGCTGACCACAGCTAGTAACTTACTATGAGAATCAGTTGATTTACATTACGTTCTGATTACATTTATTTGTCGTTTTCTTGTGATTACGGTCGAACGTTAACTAACGGTCACCTCTCTTCAACGGACACTTTTTTGTCCCAGAGGAGGGTCCATACAGTCACTCTTATCTAAACCTCTCTACAATGGGCATCTCTCCACAACAGCAACGGCACTAAAGTGTGTTCCAGCTGTCAAAGTAACCTCTCGACAACGGCAAGTTAACCAACGACTGTTGAACAGCGCATACAAAACACTATTTTTTAATTTAAAAGGTCACTAAACTTGATCCATACCGCGCGTTGTTGGTCTCTGTTTTTGTTTGGTTTCTGTTTTGTTGATATATTTTGATGGTGTTACGTATTTATAGGCTACAATAAGCATTTTTTTTAACGATAAAAATGTTGCACCCTCCGAAAAACAACAACAACAAAAAAAAAACAGGTGTCATATCACACCTACCCATAACTCCCCCATAACGGCCACCTCTCTACAACGACCACTTTCCTCTGTCCCCAAGGTGGCCGTTATGGAGAGGTCTGACTGTATTTGACAGACTAACAACTTTATTCGCTGAAGATGACCACTGCCAGTTAATGAATAATTTGTCAAGCATTGCAACCAAGTCAAGAGAAAGAAAAAAAAAATTGTAAATGCAATGCAATGTTATGTTTTAACTAAACCACAATAAAATTCTTCCTTTCTCTTAACGGCAAAACTAGCCAAAAAGCAACAAAAACAGCACTAGCCGTATGTTCGATGCTAACAACATTTCTGCAAGAAGTTATGTACATCACATCAGGCTTTGTTGCCTACAGACTGGCTCCAAAATTACTTTAAACTATCCAGCTACCAAATTCATCCGAAAACAGAAATGTCATATGCTATAATCTAAGAATATTTACAAAAATATTTTCAGTCTAAAAGCTACTAAAAATTAAGAATATTTAGCCTCCGCCGGAAAAACAATGTTCTTATATAAAAAAGGAGCGTATTCCCTGACTGATGCTTCAATGCTCACCTTTCTCTTGTTTTCTTTTGACCGCAGCCTCTTGGCGCTTTTGGGATCCCTAAAACATAAACAACAGCAACAACAGGAAGAAACAAAAAAATTATACCGATGGGCAACAAAAAGAGTGGAGACACTTTTAGAAAATGACACGTAGGGAATTAAAAATATCTAACACAGTGTGAATTTCTGAAAATTTCCACTGACGAAATTAAACACTGAGCATTATCCAGGATGAAGTTTTCTAGAAAAGGGGATGACCTCAAAACGTACATGCATACCGTCTCAAATGTTTCAAAAATTTTTACTGGAAATTAACGTTACAGCATTTCTATGGAATTTTTGGTTGAAACTTCCTTAGAACATTTCCATACCATTTGACCCTGTTTCAAAGGGTGTGTTCCTTTAGGGTGATGTGGATCAGGATCAGTGATCCAACATCATTTGGATCATGGTAAATCAAAGGAACCGATGAATCTGTGACCAGAGTGGCAGGATCTTGAATGGCTGATCCTGATCCAGATCACCCCAGAGAAACACACACCCAAAAGTTCTGGACAGCATTGCTGACCGCATGCAAAGTGCCATTTGTGTATTACCTTCATGAGACTGGGATGTTTGCCGATACTCAACACCTGTTCTTTATCTTGTTCCGTGTCCACCCCGGGTGGGGCAAGGATTTCTCTGTTAGGTTGAATGTCTGTTTGAGCTTCTACAAAATGGTAGAGATAAGTTGAAGTCTGCATCAGGCTAGGTTCTCCAGACCACCAGAACTTATCACAGTTTCATATGCACCCCCCCCCCCCCCCCCCCCCCTCCCACAAACCCCAACCTGAATGGGATGTGGGTTCATTGCAGGGTTACCCACAGGATTAAATTCCCCGGTACACAATTAGGTCAACTATGGCAGGTGAGAAAAGCAATGTGAGAGTGAAGTGTGTTGCTGAGAACACAACACAATGACACTGTCCAAGATTCCAACCAAGCAGGATCTAATAATCACACCACTTTGTCTCTCTCACACACACAAAAAACATTTACTATAAGACAGTTCTTACATCATTCTAATACTCTCTTTACATTCAAAAGAAAACTGTTTCCCAGTAAATTAAGAAGCAGCTCACAATAATATTATGATCATAAAACTATTTCATGTTATCAATAATATTTATTAATTACCTTTTTGCTTTTCGAGTAAAGATGACGGGAGAGTTATTTCAGCTGCTGGATCTATTTATGAAAAAGATGTAGGATTGTTAATGGCTATTTAATGCTCATTTGAAGTCCTGAACCATTTGCTTCATTTCCAAAGAAGAAGTTCTTAGGAGTATTAATTATTATTATAAACTGCATCATTGGATAATACAATTCAAGAGTTTTCATTAGCTCAGCCATCATGGGTTATGAGCCATTTTACCATGCTCTACAAGTATGGTAAATGTACGCTTTTTTGGGGGGGTATTTTTATTTTTATTCTAGTTTGAATATGAGATTATTATAGCCAACTTGGCACAATGCGCCTCGTTGGCTATCTATTGTCTCATCCAATGTGCGTTTGTGGAATAATTGTTCATTAGATGGGAGAATATGAGGAAAGGATTAACTTACTCATGAAACTTGCCACCACGGTTGATTATTTTCCACTTACCTAATGGATGGTGCCAAGAAACTTGGTTGGTTAGAGTGTTCCAGTAATAACTGGCTCCACTAGAAACAAAAAGGAAAAGCACAATAAAGCCCAGAATTATCACATACATGTAATGACAGCATAACAATTTATTGAACATCTGAACTTCCAATCAATTACAAACACAACCAACTGCAAACACCTGGGACTATACTGTGGGATACATGTACATGGCTATATAAGGTTTTAAAATGTATAAATTAAATTAGGTTGACTTCACCTTAAAAACCATTGATTATTGATACAAACTCACAAATTCCACGACATATGACATATGACATTTACAGATTGCAGACTGTAGACTACATTTAGGCCTAAATAGCACTCCAGTTAGCCTGAATAGTGCTCAGGTTTAATAGCCTATCTATGGTCAGCTATTGATGGAAATGGGAATACAGTAGATGTATGTCACCCTGCAGTTTGAAGTCTGTAAATGTCATACACCACAAATTCCACAAGTAATGGTCACACAGTAAAAAGTAAAGTTTGGATTTGAGCCTAATTGGTCCATCAAGCTGTTATTATTTTAGTCCTGGTTAGTGAGTAGATGCATTTCAACCACTCCCCACCCCGCCACCTTTCTTGCCTGATGGATAGCCATTTATACAGCAGCTGAGAGGAGAAAGACATGAAGAGAATGAGAACTTAACCCTGCTTTGATGTCCAGAACCCAGTATCCTCTATATCTGCCTTACCTGCTGGGGTCTGGTACTAGATACCATCCTACAGGTAATGGAACAGTGCTGAAGTCCTGTAACAAAATATCAAAATTATCCAGTCATTATGTACAGTCTAATATAACACAAACAACTGCCAAGCCTCAGGTACAAATGTACAATAAACCCTCTCTTCACTTTACCAATTTGAATCCCTATATAGTAACAAATCCACAAAGTTAAGCCTATTCAAACTGGCTGGAGCGGGGAAGGCAGAAAGTCTCTACACTGACTTAATTGTTTTCAAATTTTGCAATATTTAGGAAAGGAAGCAAACCTTTATAATTCTATGGCAACTGTATCTTAACAGGCATGTTTCTTTCCAATTTGAAATTTCCCCGTTATTATTAATATGCTCGCTTTCAGTGTTACGTGCATAGGCGACATCTTTTGACATGCCATCTTTCGACATGCTATGTAACCTAGCCTATGTCCAAAATGTAAGCGCAACAGACTTGTTTGCCGTCGAATTTGCCTTTTAGTTATGAAACATGGATTTATTTGACATCAGAATAAGGCTGGGAGTATCAAGAAGTTATTCTCGACTGTCAGAGATAAATTGGCGGTTTTGAATGTTTACATCTTTTGAATTTTAAATGTGGTATGCACCAGCATAACACTGAAAGCAGGTGTAAACAAAATTTAGCTTTTATGTAGTCTGCCTGGCAGCAAACCCTCCATGCTGTCTTGAGATATCCTCGAGATCACTTGTAAGCAAAAGTATTAACCACAGGGGATATGCAAAAGCCTGAAGGCAAGAAGGTGGCCCAGGGAAGAGACAAAAAGAATGGGTCTTCTTTCGAGAAACTGAATTCTCTGTTTCTCCAGCTTCTATAGCTAAGTATGTACAATGTTAATTAGCCTGGTGATATATCTTTTGTACTTGCATCAGGGCAGGAAAAAAATTTTAAAATCCAGTTGCCCAGGGGGACAGTACATTTCAGTTTTCAGTTGCCCCACTAAAATATTGCTTGCCCAATAGGCGCACAATGTTCATCATTTACTAGGCACCGTCTATAATCAAGCATGGTTGAATTTTAAATTAATCCATGCTTTCAACTCATTGTTTTGCTCATCTTGCAGTCTCAAGTATTGAAATTGTTTTTTATGGGAAATTATCACTAACAAGACTACCGAGGCGAATTTCACTTGCCCAGTGGACCACCAAACTTCTATTTTCACTTGCCCAAGAGCAAAATTTACTTGCCCCAGGAAATGGGACCTGGGTTTTTTCCTGCCCTGCACATGGAATACACAGTTATTCTTACTAACCTTTGGTGGGGCAGAAGTATTGTTTTGGCCATATCGTTTTCGACAATATTCCACGCATGTGTGATATGGGTTTGAAGTATTTGGACAGCCCTTCACTGGTCCATCTACTTTAGGTAGTTCATCTGGTTTCTCCCTGTCTAATGTCAACAAACGAAATGAGAACATGTCAATCTTACATGACAGTTATGGAGGAAAGAGCACCAAAAATTTGCCGCAATGGGCCATTCCATTTTTTATTGGCACCCTCCCCTCTCCCATTGAGATACTATGGAACTTAGGCAACCATGAAGGCAACGGCAATGAGAACATCACCAAACAAAAGATTTACATGTAATAAGCAGAACAATAGCTTTGCACATGTATTATAAATCTTTGTGCATTTCATAGCCATCCTCTGCACATCAACAACATGAAATGACCATGTTCTGTATATTTTGGAGACTGTGGGCGACGATGGCAAATTGTAGCATTTCGTTTTGGAATTGATTGCTGACATTACATATTTAGTTTGAGCAGGTTTTTAAGACAGATTTACTCACCGAACAGGTTCAGTTAGTTATGAAATTTGAGGGTAAAATATAAATCCATTTTCTACTGGGTGTCGTCCTTGGTGTCGCCGTCATCAGTGCTTATTAGTTCCCTGCTAGGAAATCTGAGGCAGAGGGGGAGTCTTTAAGGGCTGTTTCAAAGAGGGCAACTGTGTAGGTGCCTTTGATATTTTGATAAATTCTTAAGGGGGAAGTTTGTTGGTACCTCCAGTACCAGGGGGGGGGGGGGGGCAAATATCAAATGGAATGGCCCAATAAGCCATTTTACAGTTGTTTCCTCAGTGACCTGCACTATGAATGCAAGTGATACTGGAGGTGACCTTGCTTCGATACAAACCTCTCTGCCTTTCTCATTTAAAAGCAAACTAGTTAGCATTAGAACAACTTGATTTACATAACAAAAACAGTGAGGTCTGTATCAAAACAAAGTCATCTACAGCCTTGCTGCCATTCAGAGGCCAGGTCACTGAGCAGACAACTGTAAAAATGGTCTCTTTGTAGGCTTCTTATAGTTTTTGCAACAGGAAGTGACCAGAGTATTCAGGCTATTCCCTGCTATAGGATGCTGGTCCACTGCCGGCTTGTGTTGCATTGCTTGTACTAACCAATATATCACTGAATGTCACTAGCTGAGGAGAGACGTGACACAAACTATACAAATGCCTAGCTTTGAAACAATTTGAGACTTTCATTGAGTTGTAACTTGTTGAACTTAGTTTTAATACAACTCTCTACTAGAAATCACACAAAATCTAAAGACAACTTGTTCCCTTTTCTTGTGTTTCAAGCCTACTTTTTCCCAAAAAAGCACCTTTGATCCAAATAAGATACATCTGATGTTTATAATTAACGGAGTTTCGCTTTAGCTTTAAACAAAATTCGAAGACCAAAAGGATAGTTCCATTGACACGATTTCAAAGTTTGCAGTGCTCTCAACCTTGGTTTTACATCTTATCACCTGATTTTACGCTTAGCTAACACCGCTCTAAGTTCGATTGCAGCTTAACATGATGTTTTACCTTTTTGAATTATTCCCCTCTTTGCAAGACGGGCTTGGAGCGCTGGAGGCAGAGGCATTCTTGGTCTGTATTCCTTCAAAACAATCTGCGAAGTCTCCTCTGTTCGAAGAGGTAATTTCAATATGGCGGCATTGAGCCTGCAATATTCTTCATCGTTCTTCCGCTGAATTCGGTTCACGTGCATTTCAAATGGTTTCAAACATGGCGTCCGAACAGAAGAAAAATCTGATCGAAAGTTTGTACGACATTTGTGCCATAAAATTCGGCGATTTTACGTTGAAAAGTGGAATACAGTCTCCAGTTTACGTTGATCTGCGCGTGATTGTATCATATCCAGAAATTCTCAAGCGGATAAGTGATATGTTATGGAATGTTGCCACGGCATCAAAGGCAGATTTTTCGGTCATTTGCGGTGTTCCATACACTGCTTTACCGATCGCTTCTTCCATGTCCGTGACTTACAACGTCCCGATGGTGATGAGAAGAAAGGAAGCCAAATCCTACGGAACGAAACGATTGATAGAGGGAGTGTTTACGCCAGAAAGCAAGTGTTTGGTCATTGAAGATGTTGTCACAAGTGGCTCGAGCGTTTTGGAGACAGTCGAAGCGCTTGCTTCTGTAGCGTTACGCGTTTCAGATGCTGTGGTGTTACTAGATCGCTTTCAAGGCGGAAAAGAGATGCTACAATCGCAGGGAGTGAAGCTTCATAGTCTGTTAACACTCCCTGAAGTTCTAGATGTATTGTTTGCCAAGGGAAAGGTCGATCAAGAAATGGCGGCAAAAGTGCGCTCATTTTTGTCCACAAACAAGTTCCAGCCATCTGTGGCTATAGGCAAGGTACCAGCAACTCCAGGAAGCAAACTTAGCTTCGAAGCTAGAGCTCAAATTGTGACTAACCCAGTCACAAGAAAGTTATTTGAGATCATGCACAAGAAAAAATCAAATCTGGCTGTATCAGTTGATTTTACGACCTGTGGTGATGTTCTGAACCTGGTTGACAAAGTTGGGCCACACGTGTGCATTGTGAAGACCCATGTTGACATCCTTGAGGATTTCACCACAGGATTTGCCGAGTCTCTCCAACAGCTTGCAGAAAAGCACAACTTTGCAATCTTTGAAGATAGAAAATTTGCTGATATTGGCAACACTGTGAAGAATCAGTACAGCAAAGGGTTGTACCATATTGCAGACTGGGCGCACCTAGTCAATGCACATGTGGTCCCGGGGGATGGCGTCATTAAGGGCCTCAAAGAAATTGGTGAACCCCTTGGTAGGGCATGCCTGTTAATTGGTGAAATGAGCTCTGCAGGAACCCTTGCCACTGGAGAATACACTAAAGCAGCAGTGGAAATGGCAAAGACTCACAAAGACTTTGTTATTGGTTTTATTAGCCTATCCTGTTTAGTGGATGATCCTCAGTTCATTCACATGACCCCAGGGGTTCAGCTCAGTGCTGGAGGGGATAATCTTGGTCAACAGTATCTCACACCTAGTGATGTCATTGTCAGCAGAGGCAGTGATGTTATAATTGTTGGCAGAGGAGTCTACCAGGCAGAGGATCCTGTCAAGGCTGCTGTTCAGTATAAAGAAGAAGCATTTGCTGCCTACATGCAAAGAATTGGGAATTAAATAAATCTTTGAAATCCTGCCACCGCAATGTGTGTTATAGGCAACAATGACTGTCTTTCAGTAGAGTGAAACCGCTTTACTGTGTATTCCTTAGTTAGAAGGGCTAAGCTATGCAATTCTTGGCTTCTTAAAAGTTCATATTTTTGTGAGGTACACATTTTTATTCTTGTCCAGTATTGATCTTCCATTGCTAATGACCACAGCTTGTTAGTTTTCCTACCAGATTCAAACTACAACAGGTTAACTGTGCTTCTTTTTTACTAGCTTATTACAGACACCTAATCTTCATGGACAATTGTCTTGGTCTCAGCTGATACACCTCATCAATATTGACACTTCTAGAACTCCTCCAGTGGCCAAACAAATAAGGTTCATTTATATCCTTTGGTCTTAATCCACTTATAATCACAAGCTGGTTAAGTGTAAGTGTTAATTGATTGTCAAAAGGTGTGTGAACTTTCTGGCTAAAGGAGAAGGTCACTCCAAAAGCTTACTTTGTTGTCTTCAGCTGTAGCAAGTAAACATTCAGCTTTTTCAGCCTATAAGTGCCTGCTATCTGGAACAACTTTGTCTCGAAAGAAGCGACTTCGGAGGCCACCATTTTGAACTGTACTTGGTAGCCAGGCTGTGTTTATGTGACATCATTTCGTCCGACTCGAAATTGGCAGCAAGAATAAAAACCAACTGATTTTGCATCCTTCACAAGGTTGGCAAAATGTATTTTTCCAAGCGATTATCCACTTCACTATCATCACTACTTTCATTTTCAAAGTTTGGAGCATGTTTGGCTCAAAATAATACGACTCAAGAGCAGCCATAACCCAGAGTGACAGCAAAAAGACTTGCCGGAAGCCATTTGGACAAAATCTTGTGGACAGAATGACATCACAACAACGCAGCCTGGCTGCTGAGTACTGTTCAAAATGGAGGCAACGATGTTGAATTTTGAGCTTCTTTGGAGACAAATTCCTTAAGGAAAACCTACACTTTAGAGGCTAAAACGTCGGTGAGTTGCTAAACTTAGTGCAAGGTTTTTATTAGCATTGACAAAAAATATACGTTTTTCGGAGTGACCCTCTTCCTTTAAATACAAGTGCGAAATGAGACACTAATAGACTCTCACATAAATGTATCTATGAATATGCATTAAAGGCCACTTTGTAACTTTTCTATTAATTCTGGACAAAGCGGATGAGGGGGAGACATTGGCAGGGCATTTGATGGCAACTGTCTCTTTATAATGCAGACTTTTGGTCACGCTAGAGGATTTCCTAGCCTATTTTAATAGGCGATTTCTGAGTTGCCTTTTGCCTCTGTGTCAAAACAAGTCTACATGCAAAACCATTCATATGAAAATGAGTTCCGCCTTACAGGTTCACTTTCATGTAAATGAAACTCACTTTCATAAGAAGGGTTTTGCATGAAGACTCGTTTTGAAAAAGAGGCACAAGGAAACTTGGAAATGGCGAGACAAAACAAGATAGTTTGCAACAGAAATAGCGTTGTCTGAAAAAACGGAGTTCCTAATCACCACTGTTATTGTGAGTTTTCCACCCAGAGTTTCCTCTAATGTGGGATACAAAAAGCGTCCTGTGTTTTTAGTGAAGACAATTACATTGCAGTCAATGTTCAAAAGAAAGTTTTTGCTTGGTGTCAACACAGCTTTAACAGAATCCCTCTGAATGCACGTGAACGTGGTATTACGACTGATGGCAAGGGACAGTTGTGAGATGTTGGATAGTCCCTCTGCTACGACGCCTAAACACGCAGAATTGTTCTGAAAGATCGTTTCTTTAATTGTAATTGTTTCTGTTTGTCTTACCCTATAACCCGCCCTAATAGCCCAAGCTCTTGAACCCAGTATATCTCTTATAGTGCAGTTGTATATGATGATTGAGAGATCTACAAAGCCCAATGGTGTGCCGATTAACACCAGATTCGACAAGGCAACCATGCCTAGCCCTTTTGGGGCAACAAATTTAATACCGAACTTGCAGTAAATGCGAGGTGACATGTTGAATCCTTCGAGGACCACTTTGGTGTAAACGACTATAGCTTCTGGCATTCCAAGACAGTCGTACGGGTCGTGCGCCGTCCCTGTGCCGTCGATATGAAGACGAAGACCACTTGACGCTTTGCTGAAGACTTTGGCGAGTGTCTTGCACGGCCTTGTGTCCAAACCACAAGTGTCTGTGTCTTTCCCATTTTGGCGTGAGACAAACACATGACGTAATTGTTCGATTGGCTCCTTCTGGTCGGACACGTGGGCTGAATATAATAAACAAAAAAGTTGCATAAAGAGAATGCAGAACATTATTAAGTTCGGATCATTCGTGAATTCCAAATAAGGATCAAATCCATTGATCAAATATTTGAGTTCGCGGGCGAATTGGACTAAACGCGTCACGTGACTAGGTATACCCTGGTTAAAATTGGGGAATATCCCTCGTGTAGCTATTAGCGTGGCAGGGGCCTTAAGTATGAAATAATAAAATAACTGTACTGAAAGCAAACAAGGTCAACATGTCGCGAAAGCTTCAAACTTCGTATATGTTTGAGCGTGAATCTAACTGGATAGTCGGATAAGTTAACGTTTCGAAGCTTTGTTTCAACCCGGCCTACGAAATATGTAGGCCGTTATCGCTTGTAGTCGAGAATGAAAACTTGATGAGGCACTTATAAATTTGTGTCATCTCTATGCCACAGGTTTCGATCATCAGCTTGTTAGCACTAGAGTAATCATCTTTAGACTCGAAGAAAATAATTATATAGGTATGTGTAGTTCTCAGCACTTTTAGAAAATAGCTCAGTAGAAATACGCGCGCTGATTGGTTTAAAATCGTGTTACTATTCAACAATTAGATTAGGAGCTCGAGATTTCTATGGTGTAATAGTTGACGAGGGCGCAGCCCGATTCAACTCGAGAGCGAATAATCTAATTGTCTTAGTATTAATCTACTAGTCGTTCAAAACTTTATCTTAATCCTATGATCCTCTTCTTAGACACCTCGCGAAACGCAAAGAATTAAGCGGCCGCCAGTTTGTTAAAAAGCGCACACTGCTGGTCTACTCGCTATCGACAACAGAATAGATATGAGTAGGGTTGCTAATGTGAGAACGGCATTCGTGATAGAAGGCAAGTGGATTTATACTAAAACTCGATAGAAACACGGTACATGTTTTCTATGTTTTTAAGTCAAACACATATGACCATTCATCATGAGCCTCCAGCTCGTGCGACTGGGTGATACAACCACCACCTGTGTGTTTGAAGTTAAAGCTATCTTATGTTAACAAAATACTTTACACTCACCGTATTTCCCAAAACAACTGCCAAACGAAACAGCTACAGGGAGATAGATAAGTCGCATTGTATGGATAACGGTCCTTCACTGGTCCCGCTGAGAAATTGTAAATTTCTTTCTACACTATTTCAACTGATTATCCTGTGATCTGTAGTTGCAAATTTATTAATCAGATATCTCTAAAGTGATGTCGAAATCGCAACCTGGGCACTTGCAATTGCATTTCGCTCTGTATCTCTCAAAGCTAGGAAGGTTAAGAAGCTGCGATCTGATGCTATATCACTGGGACAGACTTCTAATACAGTGTGGGAGTGCAAGCGGAGGTATGTACTTTCGAAAGTGGGAAAACAACTAGTTTTTATCTTTACCACTGATTAAGACTTAACAATAAGAGTGTAATCTCGTGGTCTCCATCCATAGCAATACCTTATAGGGAGTTACAACTGTAAGAGAACGATCTTTGTGAGTGAGTTCACTTTCGAAAGTGTCGAAACAATAAGTTTTAAGGTTGAACAATCAGAGTTTAATATCTCGAATACCTTACAACTCATACCTTTCAGATATGTTGTTAATGTCATCACTATTTACGTGCTATGAGAACAGCTGAAAAAAGGGCTCCTTTGCAGCTATCTGGTAGATCTTATCACTGCTGCAGCCAAAATGGTCAGAAATCTTTATATCAGTATACATTGAAAACCACTCCAATTCGATTGCTGCGAGGGTTAAATAATGAACGCAAAATTGGCCGAAAAAATCCCTTATAAACAGTGGATAGCCCCAATAAAATGATTAGAATTCTGGATATCAGCATATCTTGCAAACGACCCCAGAAACAACTTCGACCATTAAAAGGGGAACTGGGAAAACACCCAGATGAACATTACATAGCCCCTTAATGACCTAGATAGTCAGACAAGTCTGTATCTTGGTGTTTTCTTTAGAGATTCTATATATGGCATTCGTAATCCGACATATTTATAGTCACGGACTAAAGTTAGTCCTTTGATCTTGCCCTTTTCGGATTTCCAGACAAAATTAAACACTGATTGAGAACTGAGTTGATCTCCTTAATAATTTCTAGGCTCGAAACGTAAATTTTGGAATCAGAGGGGTCTTAATAATTTAAAAATTTAGATTTTACTAAGGTTATTGATTTCTTGATGAGCATTTTAATTTTCTCTAAGTTAAAGGAACGTTTATCAGTAATGCATAAAATATGTGTCAAGAATTGTCACTGGCTCTTCCGGCCAATTCTTCTGCGAAAGAATCGGGTAGATCACTGACCTGATTTGGCCGGATTTATGGTCGAATATGGCCCGGCTGGTCTCACCAAGGGTGTTTTGGCTCGACTGCTCTCGCTATTGGGCTAAAACACGAACTATGGCTCGCCCAAACTCGCCTCATATGCTGCCGAAGCGTAGCGAAAAGGTGCGGTTAGGTATAAGTACTCCTGGGTGAAAGAGAAGGTTAACGAACCTGCCCCACAACGACCTCAGTAAGTGCTTGCCAACCTAAACCAGATTAGTCTCTTTGCCTCGTCACGCAAAATGAGGAAGAGCGTTGTGTGACAAGCCAAATAATGGCTGCGCAGGAGACTACTAGAACCACACAGCTCAACCTCGATCACAGGCTCCGTTGACAAGGGAGGCAAAGAAGAGAGAGTCTGGGATCGAGGTTGCACACAGCCCTGACCACAACGCACTAAACGGACTCGCACGTAGACGCAAGTCGAAAACTTGGGTCCACTTGCGACTCCGTTTGGCCAGGCCTTGCGCGCACTTGCGCTCACTTTGGTCAAGATCAAATTTGCACGCAAGTCGACGCAAGTTTTTTCACCGTTTGGCCATCCAACCCAAGTTAACGCAAGTTGTTTAGCAACCTATTAGCCAATAAAATACACGATTTTGGCCGCGTAGGGCAGAGCCAGTAGCCTTGAAATTGGTTTGTTTTGCGACTTGCGTGTCCTTGCGTGTACTAACGTGTACTTGCGTGAACTTGCGTGGTAGCTTGCGAGTCTCTTTACCCACCTAACGCAAGTCTCTACGCAAGTTCAGCCTGCGGATACTTCCGACTACTTGTGAGTCCGTTTGGCCGGGGTTTTACGCCCTAATCTTACAAAAAAAGGTCAAAGTAAAAGTTTCTCTTAACACTTGATATTTGCAGAATTCCGCTTCCTATCTACATAAAGTGGAGTGAATTCTTAAATAGAAGAAATTACATTTCTCAATTCTATGTACAACAATTTGTATACGATCTGCATACTAATATTTAAAACTTCTTTTCTCCTGGAGATTGTTATGGCCACAGCACTTCATGTAATACGCCTCTGCTGTCGATCACACGTTTGCCGAAGTCAGCCCGTGGGGGTGAGGGTGGGGTGGAAGTGAGCCGTTTGTCTTTACTGGTCAGTTAGAATCCTAGCGCTGGAGAAGGGTCGTCAGCACTGTGCAGCACATGCGCACATTTGACCTGGAGCTTCTGAACCGCTGACCTAAAATGAAATAAGAAAAAGACACTATAAGAGAACAGCATGGTTGTTGAAAAACTTACACAAGGCGCCTGGGTGCATGAGCTTAAAACTAGGACCAAAGGAATCACAGAGGCAATCAACATGTTCACAGTGAAATAAACCAATCAGATACGAACGATAAGAAACAAGTAACCGGTGAAAAGCCATGTGACCGGCAACAAGCGCGGGAAAAAATAGTACTGGTGAAAAGCGCGCGAAAAAATGTCACTAACGAAAAGTGAGAAAACATATAACCGGTCGGTTCTACGAGCTTACTTTGTGATATTTCTGCAGTACAGAATCGTCAGAGAAGACAACTGCTTGCACCCCTTCCTCAAATACCGCAAGGATTTGTCTCTGAATGAAAAACAAAATAACATTTATCACTACATATCATTGCCAAGTCGGAACATTTCCTCCTTCGTCAAAGACTCCAAGTGAACTATAGCACAGAAAGGAAAGAATGCAGGCACAGGAAACATCACAGGGCTCTTATATTCTTCCTCGTGGCTTCTTTACGCTTAATATTACTAGGAAATAATTACTCCGCACACTTTGGAGTGTTTTATTTTAAAATAATACTATAAAAGCTTTGGGCAGGAGAGATTACCGAACAAGGTGTAAAAATAAGAAAATATTTCGAAGAAATGACTCGAGAAAAAGAACAGTTCGAAACAGTTGACTTGGGAGAAATGGCAAATAAAATCAGGTTTAATAGTTTGTACTTTGCGCTCACTATGGTGGTATTTAATTACTCAGAGGTATTCAATAAACGTAAGCATGTAAACTCCATACATTATGAACAGTCAGCCAACAGATATCTTTCTTAGCACAGTCTTTCACATAAAGGTCAATACAGATTTTTCTCTTGGTTCATGTGTGGCGCAGAAGAAATTTATGCAGCCAAGAATTCCCTCATAAGATGATTACACACTGTAAATTAACATCAGTGATTAACCTTTTGTACTTACGTTATGTGTATGCAGCCAGAAAGATCTAACGCCTCAATATAATGGCAAACGCCTGATAAATACTGAAGGCTTGAGTCTGTCAACTGAGCAACGACAAAGCATGATCAGAAAACGAGCAAATAACCGGAATAGCTGACTAGTCTCCTCGTCAGTCTTTGTGTGGGTTTCACGCAATTTTTGGAGGGTCACGCAATGCTACTATTTTTTGAACAGGTCACGAAGTACTTCATGTCTTTTGATACTGTAGGCCACCCAAATCATTGAGGCTCAAAAGACTATCACTAATAGCAATAAAGGGACGGATAATCTAATTTATTACGAGGGGACGAGACGTGGTAAAAAGAGAGACCTGTACGAGCAAAGAGAAGAAAAAAGAGATGGGAAAAACGAGCCTCAGGAAAACAATCTTAAGATGTGAAAAAATTATTCCACCCTAACGTAAAGATAAGATAAAATTATTTCTCAGACAAACTGCCAACTGCATCTTCACGTCTAGCCTGCGAACGCAGACGTATTTCCGGCTGTCGCTTGTCTCCGC